TTAGGCAGGAAATTACATGTTTTTAGGAAAAATTTCAAACTGTTGCTAAATCCCAACAACTCTGGGATTCAGTAAAAGCTCTCATCTGGAGTGAAGTATGGCAGACAACTTGAACAGACTATGGCTAACAGTCTTTGTCCTTTTATAGAGCATTACATACAAAGTGAAAAGTTTTGTTAGAACTAAAAACAATGAAAGGTAAACAATACTGACAACACATAAGAATAGAACTGTGATGTTTCATTACCTACTGTGGCTCACGGACACCTAACCATGATGTTTAATTATGTATTGTGGCTCACCAACACCCAACTGTGATGTTTAATTATGTACTGTGGCTCACCAACACCCAACCATGATGTTTAATTACCTACTGTGGCTCACGGACACCTAACCGTGATGTTTAATTATGTATTGTGGCTCACCAACTAAAATTAAAAGTACGGATATTTTTAAATTATTTAAGTCTAGAATAGGTAAGATAAGTAATATTAATAATACAATTAAAATTGTTCATGAAGCACGCATGCAAGCAGCTCGTGGGTAATGTAATTCGATAGTGTAATGTGAGCTGCACATTTCCTGAGTGATTTACAACTTATAATGGTGTGGATAGCAGTTAGACACAGTTCAAAGGGCAACAAAACAATAAAATTTAATTATAAATAGATGTATAATGTTACAAACTTAGAGCCACTTCGGATAAACAAATGTAGTTTCAGTTTACAATCTCATATCATACTAGAAAAAAAAGAAGGGTAATTTAGGTTTATTTCGATTTTGTTTTTGGTGGTTAGGGGGTCAATCAACTTGGCCGATCCAGTTTTGGGATTAGGGTAGAGAAAATAACATATAAACTATAAGGATTTATTGAAAAAACTGTTTGAAATGCATTTAGGAGGTTTTAGGGATTTACACAAAGGAAATTTGAGATTTTTGAGATGATGAAAAGTACTTTTAATCTTAACATGAAAATTACTTTGCACATGGACAATTCAAAACAAATACTCAATATATTCGTGGACAAAACTTTATTTTATTTTAGTAAAAGTACTTCACTAAGAAATATGACTTTTTGTATGTGAAAGACTTGTAATATTAACTGAAAGACTGCTAAATTTGGTGAAGATATACCCAATATATCGAGAGTTATAAGTATTAAATTTATGTCAACTTGAAACAAGTACAGAAGGTCACGTGACTCGGTCAAATTGACCGACCCCATGTCAGAAGAGTTAAATATAGAGGAACCTTAGAAGTTAATCCCTTATGTCGGGCAAAGGACCACATACCTTCCAAGCATGATGATTGAGTTTCCTGCAGATACCAAAGAAATGGAAACAACGTTTGAGACGGCTATTATGGTACAACCAAGAGAACTTGACAGGGAGTGGAATAAACCATAGTCAGAACCTGAAGCAATAGCTGAATCAGTGGAAAGGCATAGAGATGTAAACCTGTCCATTCCTGACTGAACGCATCTATTGCCAATGGTTGAGGATGATGTATAAGAGGCCAAAACAGCTGCAGTTGAGAACTGCAACAAGATCAAAAGGCATCAAGCATTGGAGACCGAAGCTGAGAGCAAATCCACTGAAAAACATGCTGATGTAGCATCTATTTCGTCAGATGAATCTGGTTGGGTCGATACAAGTGATCTGCAATTAAATTCATCATTCCTGGAACATGACATGCTAAAAGACTGATACAATGGGAATGAGCTTAGTAGAGAAGATCCAAGGTACAAAAACAAAGGTCTTGAGAATGTGTGCCTCCTTGATGAGAAATCTGAGATACCACCATGGAACTGTCTGAATGTATCATGACAATTTTTCCCTTCAAGAGAGACAGACCTTGAACCATTGCTCAGTGTACTACAAGGATTTTGAGAATGTTGATATGGAGGATAGACTCGTCTTTCATTGAAATACCATGGAACCCTGACCTGGAAGATAAGCTCCCCATCCCTGATGAGATGCATTTGTGAACAGATGAATATCGGGACAGGTGGTGGAATGAATACCCGAATAGTACTGTAGTTCTGATCCAAACACCATTTGCAATCAATGATGTTGCTGCTGAGTAGTGAGACAGGATGATCCAAAGGATCAGAATGCATGATCTATTGGTTGCACAGTGACCACTGAAGGGACCTCATATGTACTCATCTCAAAGGAATGAGAAGCCTGAGGGATGCCCACATCCCAAAAGAGAGTGAAACATCTGTGCAGTAGATGGAGACACGAGTAAAAGCCTGACGGCTCTTTCCATGGCTTGTAGCCTAATAGCGGTTGGCTGAGCACAACTCAAGTGAATATTGAAAAACACACCCAGATGACTGAATAGATTTCTCCAGGATGATAGGGAAGCCCACTTTTTTTTGGCTTCTGAGAGGATAATCTTATAGTGTTGTTGTGCTACTTAATGGGATGGTGCCAGAAGGAGCCAATTGTCCATATAATGATGTGTTCAGAGGCCCAAAGAATGCAGATGACAAGATAAAGCTTGAAGAACTCTACAGAAAACATAAAGTGCTGATGCAACACTAAATCTAAGAAACCTCCAGGAAGATTCCTCAGTGGGAATATGGAGATAAGCATCGGTAACATTGAACTTTGTCATCCAGAGCCCTGGCACAAAGTGCCATCGTAGGTTGAGAAAAGATTTCATTGTAAAGTGAGGAGGATCGAAAAATTGGTCGAGTCAAGACAGATCGATGATTGAACACCAATCTCCTGTCTTCTTGGGTACAACAAATAAATGGGAATAAAATCCCATAACAATGGGATCAACATTCTATACTGCCCTTTTGACTAACAACTCTCTTAAGACCAGGAACGAAGTACCACTCACCGTGAATCTGTTGAAAAGGTTGTGCAGATAATAGTGGAGATAATGTAAATTGAATGACCAACCCTTTGGCCAGAACATGAAGTACCCATGGATTCTTGGTGTTAGAATTCCAGATCTCCAGAAAGGGATGTAATTGTACTCCCACTGCTCCCTTGCCCACGAGATAGTCACAGATGCCTTTGTCAACGATCCGCCGAGACGAAGATCCTTGAGAATACACACAGACTCTATTATGGGAACCAAAGAAGGGGGTTGGTAAATACCACGAGCCGACACTCCCAAATTAGCACCATTAAGGTGAGAAGCCAATGACAATAAATAAGAATGTAAACAAGCTGAATCAATTCATGATTCTAACATCTCTAGAACTCCAGTAAACAACATGGGATGGAGAAAAGAAGATCCTGTAATTTCCTCAGGGCAGAAGATGGTAAAAAAACACTTTCTAACACTTCTATGTAATAAATCCCAACAAAAACCAGCCAGGAAACCAGAGAAAGAACTGAAGAAGACAATTTGACTGAGGTGGATGTCAGCAAAATCCCCAACTCATCCTCAAATTGTTGAGGGAAACATTGATAGGCTTCTAACAAATGCTGGATCAAAGACAAATATCTCAGGACAGTCATGAGAGTAAGACAATCCAAGAAAACTGTGATCTGTTTAAAGTGATCACAGGTTCCAAACTAGACCCCACAGATCCAAAAGGAAGTTCATCCATTGAGAATCTAAATATACTTCCTCCTGGCAGTGATAAGCCAAACCATGCTGTTCCTATAAATGTGGGGGACAAAGCATAGCTATCCTGTTGCGTAACTGAACAGCAAATTACCCATCATGAACAGCAATATCAGTAGAAGGAGAAAAAAAAATTATCACTTGCCATCCTTTCTGCCATCAACGAAGAAGTAGAGTCAAATGCAATAGGAGAGACCCCCAAAACCTCATAAACTCGAGTAAACAAAAAAAGAGGCTGGAGATGGATGATCAAGATAATCCTCTTTTGAGGCTGACCTAGTAAATGAAGGAGCCAGAAAAAGCGAGTCTAAATTCTCCCCAGCTGGTTCCAGGTCATTTGCAAAAGCCACCTCAGAACTCCCTGGAAAGACATCCTCAGTCTCCATATGTGTCTCCATCTCACAACAGATCATATCATAGACAGCTTTGACTGAGAGTGACCCCTCCCCTAGCCATTGACAAACACCAGATGGCAGAGGTGGAAGAGAAGAGGTCTGGTTGGCCTCCATAGTAAAAACATTAACTTGGAAATTCATACCCATCAGTACGTTTTGTTGGTGTTAAAGTAATTTATAAATATAAATGAAAATATAATTGTAGTAATGCCAAATATGTTCAAAATTGCAACATAAATTGAGAATAATCACCACACTCCTGTTTATAGAAACCCACGCCAAATGCTTTGTCAAGAAAAAGTGATTCCATTATCTGAATGAGGTGCTTATATACAGTACCTAGATAGAGGGTGCATTTAAGTTGGTGGAGAATTTTGTAAATTAGAATTTGCCAAGAGCATTCAAGTGTGGTATAAAAGACCGGAGCAAGTATTTTCAATGCTTAGATGGCCAAAGAGTGGAAACCCTGGAGATCGAGAAATAGCTATGGTGTCAGCAGAGGTAAGATGTTTTGGAATTTAAGTTACTTACAAATTTACATTTTGAAATACAGAATTAAAATTAGGGTAAATTATAAATGAAAATCAATTCATAATACAAAATTTTGTTGATGCCTAAAGTAGCATACTAAACACTAATTCAAAGTAGTTATTCTATAAGTATTTCTTATTAATCCAGTTATTATAAGATTTAAATATAGAATTTCTAAATATCTAACCAATAACATTTATTAAAAAATGTAATCAACTTGTGTCCCCTCAGAAATGAGATCAGAGTTCAGCTTCCCCTCTCCTGATTTACTAAATGCTAAAGCCTGCTCACACCCTATGTTTATTGGTAATTTTTTAACATAACCAACCTCATTTATAAAGGATAGCTCAATAAAAAAATAAATACTGATGATCAGCTACATATGTAACAAAAGAAAAAACTACAAGTGTAAAAAGTAAATTTGAGTCAACTGTGATAATAAAGATGAAGACAGTTGATAAAACACAAAATACTTTTACTTACAGAAAAGTTGAACATTTCAGAATACACTTGTTCCATCTTGAACAAAATCTGAAAATAATATTATGATATTTATTAACTAATGCTATAGTATCAATAATTTACTTAGATATTCAACAGTGGTAAATGGAAGGAAAAACAGATTACAGAATATGTTACGAGTGTATTGTGAATTACAAGTTGCATGAGACAATTATAATTATTCTTAACAAAGAGCTGAGTTTTAAATGTGTAAATTGAGAATAATTTTAAGACTAAGGGGGTTTGTAGGTTTGTAAGTCGTTAAGAGTAGGATGGTCTTTAGCTATGAGTAAACTTTCTTTAATGTAGAGTTCTAGGTCTGATAATCCTGTAATAATGACAGAGAAATCATTACATGAAATATTGTGACCTATGGTTACATGTGAATGAACAGATGAGAGGCTGGAGCTAAGTAATGAATGGCTGGTTCTAATCGATACTTCTAGATGTTCAGAGATGTACAAAGAAGTGTAGGTATTTGATCTTTATATTGATCTACGTGGAGAAATTACACATTTGCAAAAACACCTGTTAAACAATAGCTATCTGACTGACTTTCTAACAAACATTACTCGCAAGTTACTAAACAATAAATTCCAGCCACATGCTACTGTACACACCATGCCCAAATTTCCCCTCGTTATCTGCCGTCCTTTTATGGGCTCATGAACCTTACAAATTAAAACAAAACTCTTTCCCCTTAATAAGAAAAACTTCTACCCTATTCAGCTCAGACTGATATACAGACCTAGCCTGCACTTTAAACACTTATTTCAAAATAAAGATCAAATACCTATACCTCTACGTTCGTGGCTTTTGTATTATTAAAAAGTACATGTGTAGTGAGTGTAAGGTCGTATACATTGGCAAAACAAAATGACACATGAAAACTAGACTCTGTGAACATTTAGGAGTATCAAGTAGAATCATCCATTCATTACTTAAACCCAACCACTCATCTATTCATTTACATGTTGAATTGACTGGTTACAATACTTCTTTTAATGATTTCTTGATCATTACTATAGGATCTTCAGACCTTGAACTCTACATTAAAGAAACTTTACTAATAGCTAAAGACCATCCTATTCTTAATGACTTACTAGACTTAAAATTATTCTAAATTTACACACTTGAAACTCAGCTGTTTGTTAAGAATAATTATAATTGTCTCCTGCAACTTGTAATTCACGATACACTTGCAACATATCCTATAATCTGTTTATTCCTTCCATTTACCACTTTATCTAAGTTACTGATACTATAGCATTAGTTAATAAATATCATGACAACATTATTTTCAGATTTTGTTCAAGATGGAATAAATGTATTCTGAAAGGTTTGAACTTTCTGTAAGTAAAAATTTTTTGTGTTTTGTAAAAAATCTTCATATTTGATATTAGACTTGGTTTTCCCCATCAGTCAAGTGTGCTTTGGCAAAATATCCTGACTGAGAACTGCACTGTATTTATAGTGGCTATGAGTTTGGCAAAAATAACTAATGAAATTTTATAATTCTACAGGGAATTAATAAATTTTTTACCAGTAAATGCACAATGATTTTAGACCCAAGTTTGTTGTTAATACTCTCTTACACAAAGAACATCTGTAGACACACATGTATGTCAATTTGAACAATAAAATTTAACTCAAGAAAAATTGCTGCAATATGATGGATATTTAAAACTCAAAAGTGAAAAGTTGGTTTGTATGTGTAGAATGATTATTACTGAATAATACAGAAACATGCTATTAATTTATTATATGAGAACACAAAACAACAATAATTAAAATACAATATTCAGAAAATTGAAACTATACACATCAACAAATTCAAATTACTGGCTGATTTATAAAAGTTAACATTTTCATAAATTAGAAATGTATTTCCAATAATACATACCTCCTCTCACATTACAGCTATTATTTGATTGCCAGGGTTTCCTTCCTTTGCCCAAATATGGGATAGGTCTGAATTTTTATTGTTTGCTCCAGTCTTATATCTCCCAATTAATTGTCCTTGGTGATATCTATCACATGATACTCTCCACCTACATCAATGCACCCTCTATCCTGGTACTGTATATAAACTACTCATTTAGATAATATTATAACTTTTTCGAGACTGATCCATTCCGCAGTCTCTAACACCAACACTTAGTGGGAAGGAAGGACGGGAGAGTATGAACCGAGATAAGTATTATTGGAGATACATTTTTAATTGAAGAAAATGTTAACTTCCAAAACATACATACTTCTGCTCTCACTACAGCTAGAATCCCAATTGATATAGTGGAGGGGCAGGTGCATAGATCATGGGAGTGCCAATAGAAGATTAACACCCAAGTTGGGGAACTGCACTGTACCCAGAACAAGTATGCTCTTCAACGGAACTTTAATTCCTGTACTGTGGGTGGAATTTTACACAATCTACCATCACTAAAGGTTAGGCTCCAACCAGATAGCTAAGGTTCCACTGCTCGGGATTGAATTTATAGGGCCACGGTCTCTCTATCCCACATTGGTGGCTAGAACAGTCAGACCACAATATATATCAAACTGGTGTATTTACATGTTTTATACTCACCAAAAAGAAACCTACCATTCTATAAGTATTTGAAGAACTTGTAGCAATCCGCCACAATTTAATTCTTAGTATTGTTATCTGACACTGTTATCTGAATAATAAGAGTTGTTTAAACATTTGTTTAACAACAAGTTAAAGCTTGGAATGGTCTATTCTTTTA